ATAAAACTTAGGACTTGTGTCTTTTGAATTGCATCATTTTTTGAGACCATTTTGTTATTTGTCAGGACATTTTAAATTCCAATACTGTCCTCCTGTTTACCTGTAGCCCTTCCAGTTGCATGTCATCTGCAAAGCTAGCAAACATGTTTTCAGTCATCTAGACCACCATGAATAATTTAGTAGTATAGTAAGTGTTTTAAGTAGCATGGGGGGAAGAGGTGACAGGAATTTCTTTAGATTCAGTGTATTTGATTAAAAGTCTACTATTTACAATGCTGAATGTATAGTATTTACAAGAAGAAAAAGCTCCCTTTTCCCTCTTCTACCCCCTTTGCTCTTTAAATGCAAAAAAATACTATTTCATTTTAGAGTATAAAATTCAAACTTTTTTTTTAAGATTAAAGTTCTTAGAGTAGTATTAACATATTTTGCAAACTACAGCAAAAACCACAGTAACCTACACTTTGGTCAAAGTTGCTCAACACCATTATAACTTTGGGACAGGTTTTATTTAAAATTCAATTAATTGTTTCAGCAAAGAAAGTGGAAATATGCTGATGTAATTTGCTCCTATCACAAAGTTGGGAGGCATAGTCAAAGAAAGAGCAAGCTATTATACCGAAAGGACTAGTTGGGTTCAATGACAGGCGTTACTGGAATAAGATGAAATTCAGAACTATAAATGAAAAGTCATGCACTTGGGGACAATTCTAATATAATACAGGGACGCACAGCTGGAGAGTAAAAGGATCACAGAACCACAGAATGACAGCAAGTTGCCACTTGTGCATTTTAATGCTCCGCTTTAACATTGAACAAAGACAGTTAATTTTTACAGATTTCTGAGGAGAAGCTGGTAATCTGTTTTCCTTCTGATTCTATTAATCAGGGTTGTCTGTAGATGAAGGGCTCCTAGACAGCCAGGAGAAGACTCAGAAGTTTCTCTCAGCTCTGTCCTGTCAAAAATCATTCACCCTCATGTAGAGTGGGTGTAGAGTTTCTTTACATACGACACTGAACACTTCCCAAACTCTACCCTTTATATGGGCCATGAGTGTTTTGCCAAATGATTAAAAGACAAAGTGCGCTTCAGGCTTTCAGATGTGCCGTAGCAGTGGGAAGGTATATACCACTGGTGATAAAATTATCCATAAAATGTACCTATGGCTGTAGGTAGGAAGCTAGACAGCAGTCACAAGTTACCTATTACCAGAATTATTCTTATTCCATGTTTATATTTTAGGTAAATTTTGACCACGTTTGAACAATAGTTTTTAAATGTAGGTTATGTTAGATTGGTTTTTGATTGATATTTACTATTTGATTTGATCATTTTCCCTTCCTATCTCTACTGATTTTATCTGTTACATTTACTATAGCTATGTAGTATCTAATTATTTTAATATATTTTAAGGATTGTTACTAGCTTCTCTAGAGGTACTACTGTGGTGTCCTCTTTAGAAGTATATATATTTCTCTTTTAGACTGCAAAGATTGTATTGCATTTCCTGCCTATTCTGTCTCTCTAAAATACTTGTTTTTTCACCTTACAGCCTAGTAAGACTGTAGACCCAAGCAGCTAAGGCAATCGGATACAATGTCCCACAGGCTATTTCCTTTTTGTCTTTACTTTTCACTGTCCATCCTAACACTATGCATGTAGATTGTATAGCACTGGGGAAATCAGAGATCTTAGGTAATTTCAGACCCATATGATAAGAAACAAATCAGACACTTTAACTTAATATACTATTGACAGCAGAATGAAGCTCCTTTTGCACATTGTGTGAAATAGCCCAGCTTTTCAGGTACTTGGTTTATTGTAACTTTCATAAGCAGCCGCATAAACACATATGTACATATACACACATAAAAATAATCAAAATATTTTGTAGTTAGAAGCTCCTTTACCCCTTCTGTGAATCTGTGCTGTCTCATAATCCTCTTATTTTGAGACTGCAGAGCAGCTCCAAGTAAACCACAGTCCTAATTGGAGCCAGCCGGAAGTACTCATCCAAAGCTTTTTAACAACAACCAAGAAATGGTTACATGGAATTGTTTGCAAAATTTCTATTGATTTCATTGAATCATTTGTGAAATTAGAAAACCCTATCAAATAAAAGACTTTTCTAAAAAGGCTTTTAACATTATTTTAAAATATTGTGTAATGCTTAAATGGCTCAAAACCAAATCGGTACTTCTGATGTGGTTAAATTATATTTCTCATTCAACACATTTTTTGTTAGCTGCTGAAAATTTCAAAAACATTATTTTGATCCAGTCAAACTGTTCATTCTCTCACCACAATTACCAAAGAATGAAATTATCAATATTTGTCCCTCTCTTCATTGTTCTTTTTTCAAAGCCATGGTGGCGTTTCTTCAGCTACTGTATTCTTTCTTTTTCCAACCCTTCTCACTTCAGAGTGGCCCTTTGCTTTTTATTACTTTCCACAGCTTCTTTAGTCCTCTTCACAGCTGAAGGAAAGGAGATGGGAGAGGGACAGAAGTAAATTACTATCTGAAGGTCTGAATCTATAGATACAGAAATGTGTTGCTTGAGAAGTTTGAAAGAGATTTGGGTACATGTAAGAGTAGGAGGGAAAGGCAGAAGGTCAAGGATGGGGAAAGACAGAGGCTAAAAAAGTGATATTAATGCTGTGGGAGAAAAAGTATGAAAATCAGTGAGCATAGAAAATACAGAGAAAGCAGGAGAGTGAAAAGAAGTAGGATGGCATTTTGGTGGAGTGCTGCCCAAAGATGATGTCTTACTGATTTGCCACATGGGAGGGCTTACAGTGTTCCTGATCATCTAGTCTTTCTCCCTGCTACAGTGGGTGATTTCTGTACAGGAATTCACCACTGCAGTGAACACTCAAAACTGCCATCCTTCCCTCTCATTGCTGGCTTTCCTGGATTTAGAAAGAATACAGAGCAAGTATATTGTATAAATTTATTTTAGAAAACTGATACAAGCTATAGTTTAAAATAATCCAGACTGCCAATAAGCCAGTCTCAGCAACTGCTTTGGTTGTACACTGTCTGTGCAACCTCCATTTTTCTCTTTTCCTTTGCTATCCCTCCTACTTTCTTTCTGTGTCACCTTCACAGTTTTAACAGCTATGGTCTCATCAGCAGTAGGTGCTATATATTCAAAAGAATTTTTGAGAATCCTGAGACCTGGCTGGTTATATAAAATCGTGTATTTTAGTCCCAGAGTCTCAGTTTAAGCGAGTGTTCGAGCATGCAAAAATTCTTTACCATTTCTGACAAGAATTTATGGACGTATATCAGTACCATCTAGTGGCACTAAGAGTTATAGCACTTAGTAGGCTTGCACAGGAAATGACAGATTTGACTTCAATAACCAGGATCCTT